CACACACACACACACACACACACACACACACACACATACTAATCGTGATTAAAAAATAACAGTACTTTTTTTTTTCTTTTTTTCTATCCTTGATCTTTTTCTTATTACAAAAAAACAAAAAACAAAAAAAAAACGTAAAGGCGAAGAAGACAAAGAACTGTCAACAAAAAAATTCACCCCCCCAAAAAAAATCTTTTGTTTTCTTTTTTTTTTAATTTCTTCTTTCCGTCTTTTCAGTTTTTTATTTTTTATATTTCCAAAAAATTAATTGTTTCCTAAAAACAAATATGGGGTTGTAGGGTTTGAGAAACCCTACAACCACTTTTTTTTTTTTTTTTGCCTATTACTTTTTACGGGAAAAATCATGTAAATTCGTGGTTGCGGTGCAACCGACCCCAACCGCAGATGTGGCCAAGAACATGGCCGCCCTCCGAGCCCGACCCCGCGGCCATGGCCGAGGGGGATACATAGTTCTCCCAAACTCCTCCCTCGTAAGGAGTTCAGAGAACCTCATCTCAGCAGAGGGTGGACACCATCATCACCATAAAATTCCTTGTCCCCACAATATTTTCGGTCTCCGTCCTCGAGGGGATAAAACAACACTACCCAACGCCAATCGTGCCATGACTCACCCTCATTAGTCGGTAGCCATTGGAAAGCCTAAACTACCCAACGCCAATCACATCTGATAAGAGCTCCCCCGGACAGGTACCCAATGAAAAGCCCTATTCCATCCCCTCCCCATCCTTGCGAAGAATCATTTGATGCCCTTTGCCCCCTTTGCGAGGATCAGGGTCCTCGGTAGGCCTATGGGGCCCCATCTGCAGCCTTACCCGCCTTAAGTGAAGGCGGAGGTGCCCGCCCTCAGTGAAGGCGGGCCTGGCTTTTTGCAAAAGGCCTTCGACTGTCAATTTCATATTTGGGGTTTTTGGCAGTTGCGACGCGCCAGTTGGTTGAAAGAAACTCAGGCCGAGCAACAAGGACATTTCCACGGCCTACCGGGCCTTTCCAAAGAATGCAGGCCCTGGCCGTGATTCGCAGCCTCATACAGAGACGGTTGGGCGCCCAACCGAACGAGGCCCAACAGCCCAGTAGCTGCTACATCCAGGCAGCCTCCTGGGGCCTTCCGGAAGCTTCTGGGCCCAGGCCAGCGCAGCCAGGCTGCAAGAGCAGCCCAACTCTTTCCATAAAGGAAAGAGCTCTGGCCAGTGGCCAGGCCAACGCATTGAGTCACTTGCTGGCTGGCGATAGCGCTGCTGGAGCGATTGCTCGCAGGCTGACTGCCGACATTGGAGCAAGAGGCTGCGCACGTGCGGTCGTGTGAGGGAGAAGGGCGCTGCTGAGGGCAGCGCCATAGCCAGCCTCCATAGCGCGCTTGGCTTGGATACAGAGTGAGGCGCAGGGGTGGTCTTCGGGTAACAGAGAGGAGAGGTGTGGGTGAAGTCAAGGGATAGGTGAAGGATGATGATGATGATGATGTGAGGGCACGTACCTTGTATTGACGATGGTCTGCATGGGCGTCATCTTCAAGTACTTCGGACTGCTGCTGATGTCAACAGTTGCATTGTCTTTTTGTAGTCTGTAGTAGCTGTGTAGGNAGTTGCATTGTCTTTTTGTAGTCTGTAGTAGCTGTGTAGGAGTAGGCTGGGCGCTGAGCGCCAAGTGCGAGTGTGAAGGACTGGACTCTTGTGTTGAGAGGAGCGATTATGCTCTCCATGAACATTGGTTTTCAGTGTAATGAACCTCCATTGGTGTATTATTGGTGCAATGCTGCTCTCTGGACACGGTGTGACTACTGGGCTTGCAATGTGATGGTGTGATCTGGGTTTGTCATCTCGCTGTTGCTTATTTTCCTTGCAATTTGGTATCGGAGCTGGTTCATATTGCGCTTCATTGGTTCTTCGCAATAACTATTGGTGCTTCGCATGAGGTGTGGGGCAGTGATAAGGCATTGGCGTTGAACATTAGGCGGCCCAGGGTAGTGTGGGCGCGCCAGGGAGCTATGAGGTGACATACGGGGTGTATGCTGGATGATGAGAACTCGCTGATGTCACGTGATGTGGCAAATTGAGCCGAAGTGGAACCGCATTATGTTGTTGGTTGTGCTGAGGCAAAGACCGATCATCACAATTGCACATCAGGTTACCGGTGAGAAATCTGTGGTTGGGGGCAGCGTTAATGAGGTACGTTGCTCTCTTCCTTATCTACCCTCTTCATCTCTTCTTACCGTGAGGAAGTGAGTTTTGTCTTGAGAGTCCTTTCGATGTGAGGTGTCGCGAGCGCTCAACCTTGAGACTCGACATCCTTCTTGGGCAGCAAGCTGGAGGGAGACGGGTGAAGCCTCTGAAGGGCCCTGGACGAAGCACTCCGGTCACGGTCACCATGCCAACCCGCTAGGACTAGTACACGCATGCTTGGGTGCAAGTCCTTAATACTGCTGCTTGCGCAATAGACGTTTACCCGGACATTCCATCCTTTTATGAGACGCTTACTTGACCGTCTATAAACATTTCTGGATGGGGACTCAGATCTGAATCTGGCTGTGATCGTTGTCCTGACTGCAACGTTAAATAACTCCTGAAGAGATAGGGGCGCTCTCAATATTCCTCCTGATCAGCCAGATCAACCGGGTGTAAGGCTCGTTTCCGTACGAGGGTAAATAAGAGTGGACTGGCTGGCTTGTTCGGCAAAGACTTGGGGCACAGGGGTGGGCCGGATTGCACACCTTCAGACACGCTGGTCAACCAGATGCTCAGGATTGTTGACACAAAGAGACTACTCAAGAAGGGTACAGGGGGAGGGGGGATTTCGGTAACTGTTCGCAGTGGCAATCAACATACAATCTGCCATTCAGTGTACATCTCCAACAGAAAATGTTATTTTTATTTTGATTATCTAGTTATGACAGACTTCGCTAACAACTGACAGACGGCTACAGATAGATTAGATCTTTGCTGTAGTGCAATCTGTTCCAAGGTAATTCAAAAATAAAATTAATATATCCTGTAGGACCTGACATTAGTTGCAACTACATCRCCTAAYYATTTCTGTTCCAGCCGACCGTAAGTAGTTGTGTATCATATGCGGATGTGTGTCAAGCTAAGGTAGGATTCAGTGTGGATTCTAGTTTAGATCACACACACTGTAGCTCATGAGTGATGCAAGCACAAGTGAGGAAGAGTTACTAGTGGACGACCGTAGGACTACTCGCGGGACTGCCCGCAGTCGACCCTTGACATTCTTGGAGTTAGGTCCAGGAGACGAGAGAAGATTGAGGAGAGAGGCTAGAGAGAGGACAACAACAAGGAGAGCGAGGGCAGCTGAGGACATTGCTAGGGCTAGAGTTACAGCTAGCATCAGTGCAGCCATGGCTACCTCATCTATGACGGAACCCTCTACACAGCCCACTTCGTCAGGAGTTAGTCAGAGTGGTACTCAGGGAGTCACTAGTCATATTGGTCATGTGCGAGTCAGCCAGTCTCCACTCACGCCGGAGGACTTAAAAATCCGGCAGGCAGAAGAACTTCAGGATGAGTTACAGCGGCAGATGGACGATGTAGTAGAGAGGAGAAGGAAAGCTATGCAAAGAAAGGCTAGACTAGAGAGTAGAGCGCAGGAGCTAGGCAGACTAGAAAGACTCGATGAGTCAACATTAGACCCTGCTGTCCGTGTGCTGCAAGGCGCCTTACTTTCAGTGGCGGAAGCACAAAGCGTTCAGCCGGAATTGTTGGCTGATTTGGTAGCAGGCCATAAACTAATTCTGGCTGAACATCGGGGCCCTCGCAGTATGGTGAGGCCGCCACAGTTTGCTCTAGTTCCCCCTGCAGCTGTGGGTCCATCATCGATGCCTCAATGCACAGGGGAAACTTTCTCTCCCATGTTTGGCATACCCTCCCTGGTTGGTTTAGTAGCAACTACATTCAGTCTCAGCCGTACCATCTACAACAGTGGTCACTACAGTCGCACTGTCCTGCCAGGCTCAGGTTAGTATGCAACAGTCTGTTTCAGTGGCTATGCAGCCGCTGCAGCAAGCAGTTGGGCCCATGCAGCCTATGCAGTGGATCCCCAAGATAGCTTTGATGAGTCTCAAGCCCTTCTCTGGCAATAAGAAGAAGGAGGAAGACTTGGACACCTGGGTGAGAACTGTGCCTACTTATGTGAGGCATAAGCTCACAAGGCCAGAGTAAGAAGTTGTAGTGGCTGCCTCCTTTTTAGAAGGATCAGCAGCCCGCTGGTTAAATGGCTTAGTGCAGCAACAGGGCTACGGTCAAAACTTCGATGTCTGGGCACAATCCAAGACATTGGAAGAATTCATACAATCCGTGTACAACAGGTGGCATGACCCACAAGGGGCTCAGAAGGCCACTGACGCTGTCAACAGTCTTTGTTCCCGAAGGTTCAAGAATGTTAGAGAGCTAACGGACGTCGTAGAACGACTGATCGTGGTACCTGGTGTGCGTTTTGACCAGCAGGTTTTCCTAACGGATTACCTAAGGTGCCTACCTTCTGAGGTAAGGACCAAACTGGTTGACGAAGCCTATGTTGAACAGCACACCTTCAGTTCTTTTAGTAAGAAAGCTCTGGACATCGAGGCAAAGCTAGGATCTGCGCATCATACACCCAATGACGGTAGGAAGAGACTGCCCCAAGATTGGAAGAAAAAGGGTCAGTTAATGTTCGTTGACCACGATGGTCAAACGACGGAGATTGATGACTACTCAGATCTTGGGGAGTTCACAGAGCACGATGGGGGTGGTGAGATTTTAGATGGTGGAGTCGTAGCACCCATCAAGGAAAAGGGTAGGGGGAGAAGGTAGGACGGTTCACGGGTCAGGGCGACCAAGGAACACCCGCATGGGTGAAGACTGGTTTAGAGTATGAGGTGTGGCGTGACCGCTTTGCTAGGGGTACATGCATGAACTGTGGCCATTATGGTCACACGTCCAGGACTTGCCGCGGCAAGAGGGTCACCACGAAGGTAGCCTCACCAACGGTGGTGGGTCTATCTTCGAACCCTGGGAGTGCTTCTGTGAGCAGCTCTCAGGGAAACACCTCGGGCCAGTAGGAGTGTTAACCGCTCTTACTCATGCTGAAGTGGTAACGTTGCCTTCCCCACTTCAGGTGTTGGCCAAGGCTAGTGACCCACGTATCGCCCCGCAGACACATTCAGACCCAACGACGCTCTGTTCGAGAGATGTGTCTGAGGCCCTAGAAGAGTTAGAGATTGAGTGGTCAGGGAAGGACCCCAGGGACTCTTGGGCGATGATCAGTAGAGGTCCAAAGGGTGAGCATTTCATGGTAGAAGTAGATGTTGGTGGCCGCAAGGTTGGCGCCTTCGCAGACATAGGCTCTACACGTAATTTCATCAGTCGTGCTTGTGTGGATAGACTGCGCTTAGGGGACCAAGTGCAGCGGCTTAGCAGAACTTTAGCTTCTACGCTAGCCAACAAGCACAAGATGGTAGTAAAGGACTATGTCAAGGACGTAGCCTGTACGTTCTTCTATGGAGGAGGGGAAGTGATCCACAAGATCTCCTTCCTTGTGAGCGATGAACTACCATTCGATATGTTACTAGGCATGTACTACCTCGAAGTCTCGCAACCTCAGTTTGACTGGAATAGAAAGGTGTTGATCCACAAATTGCCCAATGGTAGAACTGTTAGATTGCAGAAGTATAAATCTAGCAGTCTAATAGAGAACTACGGGTGTATGTGCGCTTCATCCTTCTATAACTATTGTAAGCAGAATCAGGAGGAGGGCATGTATCTAGTCTTTGTCTCTGAGAAAGGGGAGGCCGTTAAATCACCCCCGGAGATAGAAAGAGTCGTCTCACAATATTCAGACCTTTTTGTGGAGCCCACAAACGTGGTGGAATGGGAGGTTGTCCATGCAATAGAGGTTGTCCCAGGTAGTGGGGTGCCTAGAGGACGAATCTATAGGATGTCTCCTGCGGAGTTAGATGAGCTTCGCCGCCAGCTCAAGGAGCTCACAGAGAAGGGATGGATACGGCCTAGTACTTCCCCTAATGGTGCACCAGTCTTATTTGTTCCTAAGAAGGGAGGTCCATTAAGGATGTGCATTGACTATAGGGGCCTCAATGCCATCACCGTTAAGAACGCGAAGCCCCTACCCCGCATTGACGACCTCTTGGATAGAGTGCAGGGATGTTGGTACTTCACAAAGATAGATTTGAAGTCCGGATACCATCAAATTGCCGTTAGACCTGAGGACCAGCACAAAACCGCATTTCAGACCAGGTACGATCTGTACGAGTTTGTGGTGATGCCCTTTGGCCTATGCAATGCACGTGGTATGTTCCAGCACGCGATGAACCGGATCTTTCATGACTACTTGGACAAGTTTATCGTCGTGTACCTCGACGATATTCTCATCTTTAGTAGGACTGTAGAGGAGCACGCTGAGCACTTGAAAACAGTGCTAGGTCTCCTTAGACAGCACCAGTACAAAGTGAACTTGGATAAATGCGAGTTTGGTCGCACCAAGATCCTGTACCCGAGTCATGAAATTTCAGCAGATGGATTGAGGTCAGAAGATGCGAAGGTGGCCAACATACGTGACTGGCCCAGACCTCAGACTGTTACTGAGGTCAGATCGTTTTTGGGGATGACAGGCTATTATCGTCCGTTTGTGAAGAACTATAGTACTATAGCCTACCCATTAACGGATCTAACTCGACTTGACACCCCTTGGGAGTGGACTGAAGAGTGCGAAGCAAGCTTCAAGAAATTGAAGTATGATCTGACGCACTATGAAGTTCTCAAGCTTCCAGATCCTGACAAGCCATTTGTTGTGACCACAGACGCTAGCCAATATGGCATAGGCGTTGTCCTTGCGCAACAGGAAGGGCCCAAGTTGAGACCGATCGAGTACATGAGCAAGAAGATATCATCTCATAAGTTGGCTAAGTCCACTTATGAGAGAGAGCTCTACGCCCTGTATAGAGCGCTAGTTCATTGGAGACACTACCTCCTAGGAAGATTCTTCTATGTGAGGTCGGACCATGAGACTTTGCGMTGGATCAAGACACAACCAGTCTTGTCGGACGCACTCAAGAGATGGATTCAAGTGATAGACATGTATGACTATCAACTTGATCCTATCAAGGGTACGTATAACAAAGTGGCTGATGCGCTATCGAGAAGGGCAGATTATCTGAGCGCGCTAGTAACTGAGTTTAGCATATCTAATGACCTCACTCGATCGTTGGTGGAAACCTATCAGGAAGACCCAGTCATATCAGAGATCATTCGTAAATTCAAGGCAAAGGATAAAAAGACTTTGGATGAATTTACAATGGTAGACGACTTGCTGTTCCTCGATAAGGCAGGGAATAAAAGACTATGTGTTGCTAATAGCGAGTCTTTGCGTAGTTTATTTTTAGGAGAGTATCACGATGCAACGGGTCATTTTGGCTATAAGAAGACAGCAACAAACTTAGTTCAGAGATTCTGGTGGCCCTCTATGATGGAAGATGCAAAACGATATGTTGAAACCTACCAGGTTTACCAAAGGGACAAACCAAGGACTCAGGCGCCACTTGGGCTCCTCAAGCCCTTGCCGATTCCTAAAGGTCCTGGTCAAAGTGTATCCATGGACTTCATGGATACTCTCGTGACCAGTAAGTCTGGAAAGAGACACATCTTCGTAATAGTGGACCGCTTTACTAAGTATGCAAGACTAATCGCTATGCCAGAAACAGCTAAAACTGACCACGTCATCAAGCTGTTTATGGACAATTGGGTACGTGACTTCGGTTTACCTACATCTATCGTTAGTGATAGGGATGTCAGGTTCACAAGTGAACTGCGGCAGTGAATTGCTGAGCGAATGGGCACAAAGCTCCAAATGACGTCAGGGAATCACCCTGAGTCAAATGGCAAGGCATAACAAATGAACCGGGTAGTGCAGCACCTGCTTAGGCATTATATTAAGCCAAGCCAGGATGACTGGGACGAGAAGTTACCTCTCGTTGCCAGCCTGTACAACAATGTTGTGCATAGCACCACCGGTATGACTCCCAACCAGTTACATCTTGGTTGGAAACCTAGATCTGCACTTGATTTTCTGTTACCAGAAAGACAACCTACTGCAGCACCTGGCAGCATATAGTTTGCTGTCAAATATGAGCAGATGCTGCAACAGGCCGTTGAACATATTCAGAAATCTCAAGATGCTATGATTGCATCTGAGAACAAACATAGACGGCCATCTAACTCTCAGGTAGGTGAGATAGTCTGGGTGAAATCATCTGAACTGGGACAGGAAATAGGGATCTCAAGAAAACTGATGCCTCAGTACTTTTGGCCCTGGGAGATCTTACATATCGTAGGGGATCAACCGGAGGGGCCTTCGTACGTGATTCACATCCCGGCATACTTACGGACTCATCCTGTTTTCCATGCCTCCAAGCTGGCACCTTTTGCTGCCACAGACCTGTTTCCCTCTCGGAGATCTATGTTGCCCCCAACCATGGATGGCGAAGTGGACATTGACCAGATCGTCAAGCATCGGATGATGCCTGTTCCTCGACCATCAGGCAGAGGGCGGCCTCCTAAACCAAGAATGCAGTATCGGGTGAGCTTCAGACATCACTTCGATCCCAAGGAAGATCGCAAGTTCACACGAGAAGAACTCATGAGAACAACTCCTCAAGCGATTGCAGGCTATGAAAGAGAACGGAAAGGGAAGATGCCTGCAGAATAAGAAGACTTCTCAGAGGACTCACGAAGTTGAGGAGGAGGGAATGCGAGGATCAGGGTCCTCGGTAGGCCTATGGGGCCCCGTCTGCAGCCTTACCCGCCCTAAGTGAAGGCGGGCCTGGCTTTTTGCAAAAGGCGTTCTACTGTCAATTTCATATTCGAGGTTCAGGCAGTTGCGACGCGCCAGTTGGTTGAAAGAAACACAAGCCGAGCAACAAGGACATTTCCACGACCTATCGGGCCTTTCCAAAGAATGCAGGCCCTGGCCGTGATTCGCAGCCTCATACAGAGACAGTTGGGCGCCCAACCGAACGAGGCCCAGCAGCCCTGTAGCTGCTACATCCAGGCAGCCTCCTGGGCCTTCCGAAAGCTTCTGGGCCTAGGCCAGCGCAGCCACGCTGCAAGAGCAGCCCAACTCTTTCCATAAAGGAAAGAGCTCTGGCCAGGCCAGGACATTGAGTCACTTGCTGGCTGGCGATAGCACTGCTGGAGCGATTGCTCGCAAGCTGACTGTCGACATTGGAGCAAGAGGCTGCGCACGTGCGGTCGTGTGAGGGAGAAGGGCGCTGCTGAGGGCAGCGCCATAGCCAGCCTCCATAGCAGGCTTGGCTTGGATACAGAGTGAGGTGCAGGGGTGGTCTTCGGGTAACAGACAAGACTAGTGTGGGTGAAGTCAAGGCCCAAGGGATAGGTGAAGGATGATGATGATGATGATGTGAGGGCACGTACCTTGTATTGGCGATGGTCTGCATGGGCGTCATCTTCAAGTACTTCGGACTGCTGCTGATGTCAACAGTTGCATTGTCTTTTTGTAGTCTGTAGTAGCTGTGTAGGAGTAGGCTGGGCGCTGAGCGCCAAGTGCGAGTGTGAAGGACTGGACTCTTGTGTTAAGAGGAGCGATTATGCTCTCCATGAACATTGGTTTTCAGTGTAATGAACCTCCATTGGTGTATTATTGGTGCAATGCTGCTCTCAGGACACGGTGTGACTATTGGGCTTGCAATGTGATGGTGTGATCTGGGTTTGTCATCTCGCTGTTGCTTATTTTCCTTGCACCTTCTTCAAAACAAAATCCCCCAAGACTCTACAAGATGCTTCACTTGACCATCCCATGGGGCCCCCTGGTCAAATTTAGGACACGGTGTGCACAACTCTGACGAAAAGAAGTAGGTCAAATTCTGATCAAATTAAAAAAAAAAACAATATCTCACCACAAGGACCCTAGGAAATCAACGACAGATTGAATCCAACTTAGGAAATTCCTTGGTATAGAAGATTGAAAAACGAATAAACAATGATAGTAGTAAAAAGACTTTAGGAAGAAATAATCATTAGAAAAAAACATTGGAAAAACAGATGCATAAAGATCCCGACGAATTTCAGATTGGAATTTCACGAGCTATGTTCAGTAAAATCATTCAGAATTGTGAATCTATCAGAATCGCAGTCCGATTCACGACTTTCAAATTGGGAAATGCATTAGACTCTTAGGATTAGAATATTGCAAAGATTTACCTCAGAATTGTTCCAGAACGTAGAAAGAAAAAAATACCTATGTATGGGGAATTACAATTTGAATCTCGATTAGAACCTTCACAATTGACAGTAAGACGTGAGAAACACTCAAGAACAATCAAGAATCCAAAATCGAGATCGTCAATGAGAAACCAAGTTAGGAGAACAAAGGATTTTGGACAGTTATTAGCTAGGAGATCAAGGGATTTTGGACAGTTATTAGCAATCATTAGAGCATGGGCTAACCAATCGCGACCTGAGCTGATCAGCGAGTAACCTTCATCTCCCCTTCCTCGACAGCACCTACTTACCTCCTTCCCCTCAAACCTTACCCCAAGGTCTTCGGGAAGGAAGAACCCTTCCTCTCACTGCTAGCTACTAACGCTATGGGCATTGCTAACACCGAAAACCATCAACGGCCGTCTTCGATCCCTGAAAAAAATCAAAAACGGTTTGGCACCTCCGCACCAAACCTGTTGGCGAGTCACCACAGGGGGTTCAAAACCTCCAAAAAAATCATGCTAATTCGTACTTACCCTGCTGTCGAAGAAGAGGGGAGACTCTTCCTACCACCACTGATCGTTCCTCGTATCGTGATCATCATTGCCCTGCTGATGAAAATACACATGGCCCCACGAAAGTCACCTAACAATAGCAGGCTCCGATGTCCATTCACCACGCTTCTCCTCGCTGCACTACCTCGGAATATCTTGCGTCCTGACCCTGATTACGAGACAGAAGTCCCGTCAACCCAAGGTTTACTTCTCGCGTCGTCCGCATCATCAGCTCCCGCCTTGCACCGCAACGTTCGTCGCTCCCGCAGACCGAAATCCAAGTACGGGCGGCCCAACGCTCCCGGTCGCGCTGCGTCGTCCCGAGTGACCCCTACCGTCCCCCTCACCTTCCATCTATATTCTTCTCTCAATCTTCTTTTTGCATATATTCTATCTCATCCTCTTGCTACTCTATGTAAGGGGGAACATCAACCAAACCTTGAACTCTCCCCAGCCCACGGGGTAGGTTTTTATTTGACAACTTTCGAAAATGCCTTGGTCTGAAAGGTTGTGTGGAGAGCCCCTAGGACTCATCTGGCAGTGGGCAGAAGAGGGATTAGAGGGGGGGTGCACTGGGGCTCAGATTGACTAGGTCCAATTTACGCTTGTGCTCTGTGGTTTTGGATCACGTGCAAACATGAGTCGTTTATCGTTTTCCATATAGACTGCTAGTGTCCATTGGCTTCGTTTTCGTGGAGACTACCCATGGGCCAATATAAAATTTTTAAATTTATTTGTTGGCCATTTAGTTGACCACGTTGCGTTGGCGCGAAACTTCAATTCTATGGGTTTTTTTTTGGGGKGGGGGGGAGGGGTGTTTTTGAAGCTTCGTACCGTGTATTTTTATGTGCAGAAATAGAGAATATTGAGAATCTGAGATTTCTGTGTGCATTGATAGTTGTGTTGGCGGGAAGCCTCAATTCTATGTTTTTTTTTTGGGGGGGGGGGGGGGTTTTTGAAGCTTCGTATCGTGTATTTTTATGTGCATAAATTAAGAATATTGAGATTTTCGTGTGCACTGACAGTTGAACACACCATGCGTCATTGTAGGCCAGTTGGTTTCCTTGCCTTTTCCTCGGTACTAAGGGTTGAGAATGAGGAATACGCAGGTTGTACTGTGATAGTTATGATGTCGATGTTAGACTGATGTTTTTTTTTTTTTTTTTAACTGATTTTGTTATTTCGTTTGGGTCCTTTTCTTTGCATTCGTGTAAATGAAAAAAAACATTGTTTATACGTTCTTACATAAGAAACGGACGCCACACACACCATTTTACACGATGCTAGTCCGTCCCTGCCCCTGGGGCTAGGTACCACTGACACGAGTTAAGCGATATTAACTGTAGATAGCAAATACAAACGGTCAGAATCTCTTAATCCGTGGAAGTGGGACCTTGACCCTGGTTAATGTTTTTGTGATAGATGCTTCTGTGGGTTTACACGCAAAAAAAAGAAAAAGAAAAAAAAAAAGTAAAAAGGAAAGAATGAGGGGCTGTTGTGGTGAAAATCAACAATGCACGTATGGACAAATAGATAGACAGAGATACTGACCAACTGCCCCTCGGGGAGGTGAAAACAGGAACTGGGACGCTGGACCCGATTTCCAACTGGTACAGACTCAATACATCTTAAGGGGAGGGAGGAACCGGGATATAGTTGTGCGTCTGACGCCTGATTTAAGGTGAAGAGGTCCCCACCTCCTTCCACTATTCTTCTCAGTCAATCCCCTGAATCTCAGGGTAATTTTTTTTTTTTTAATTATTTTTTTATTTTAAGGAAACAAGGCTCCAATCTATTTGTGGGGAGCAGCACGTGCTGGGAACTGGGCCCAACGTCCCATATGAAAATTTTCATAGACTTTGAAAGTTGGGTTACCAGGGCCATTACCCGACTTGGCTAAGAAACGTTGGGGCTACTTAGGAAATTACTACAACATACTTCGGAATTAGACAAAATTCAGAAACCGACTCAGGAACCCCACATCCATCCCCTTGACCTGATTCCGGCAAGACTTACTGCAGCAGAGCCACCATCTCCGCTGCTGCTGTACCCTATTTCCATCCTACCAGCTAGCCCCTTCACTAATACGACGCTTGATATCCCACCATCTCTATTTTTGAAGACCCCACTCACCCTTTTTTGATTTTTAAACAAAATCATATGCACAATTCGGAAAAGGACTTAGACACCACCAATCAATCCCCTGTACCCCACTCCGGTGTCGCTCCTTAACTGCTCCACTGCGAGTGGGCACGGCTACTTTGACTTCCTCTGCTATCGGAGGCACATTCCGCCCCCTCCTTATGCCCCCCCCCCCTTCTGCCGACTCCCAGCCCCTTGGCGGCTCAGCTTTCCCCGATCCTTCCCGACTTGTCTCTCCTTTTATTCCCCGAAGCTCCGTGGACAAAACCTGGGGTCCACTCGAACCAGACTTTGAATGCTCTTAGGGGCACTCAGAGCTCCTGCAATTCTTTCGGACACCATAGTTCAAAGAACTCCTATAATTCACCGAGCGCTTCGATGACTCTGATTCAGACTGGTTCCAATTCGAGAAGATCCCATGAGCAGCCCAGAGTTCGATACTCGAGCACGGACCGACTCCAATCCGAGTTCCAAAGGACCTAACCCAGAGATCGAAACAACCGACTGGGGTCCTAAGTTTGCTTAGATAACCCTGATTTCGATCGCTCAATTATAGACTGGCCGCAGTCCGAGTCCAAGAAGACATCCAGATAGACCGAAGCTCTATACAGACAGACTGCAATTCCAAGTTTACACAGATAAACCTAGAGCTCGGTTGCTCAAGTGTAGACTAGCTACAGTTTCATGCGGATGGACTCCAATTCAGACTTTACACCCAAGACTCGGTTGCTCTAGAATAAA